CATATTTCACAAGTGCACATCTGTGTAGCCACCGAGGGTGTGGCTTCTAAGATGGACCAAGGGCATCTGCATGTGCATTATTTTGTCTATACATATTTACCGTTCGCGGTGGCTTCTAAGATGGACCAATGGGCATCCAGAAATTTTGCTATGTTCGTAACTTTCGCCTTTTTAAGCAAAAATATGTGAAAAATAATACTTCTGTCCGCAATTTTCCACGCAATTTTCTGTGCGAAATAATTATAGTCGATTTCTTCTGAAAATTTTCATTGCGACGTTAGATCAAATATAAGCAAATGTGAAGATTTCACTACCTGGTTGAAAGAATTTAAAATAAATACAAACACATTTTGGATACTCCACAAAAATATCCATGTGAAATATTACGTAATAAGCGGTAAATAAGATAAAGAAAGAAATATGTGATAAACATGTGAACCCAAATGCTATCTTTACATAAAACTATGCACACGAGAAAAATATTTACACCAATTATATATGTAAATAGAAGCCAGCACTTTTTATTGCAGTCTATATGAAAAATTATTAAAAAAAACTATACACTTGAATTTTCTTAACCCACAGGTGTTAAGTAAATGCATAATATTTGAGGCTAATTGTAGCTTGAGTCATTTTCTTGATGTAAAGAGCGATAATATGCCGTGAACATCAATCCAGATATTAATGCATGATTAAAAATCGCCAAAATGAAATGTCAGCGATTAATTAAACTCATGAAACGAAAGAACTACGAAATTTTCTTCTACTACGCCATACTCTTTTACCGCGAAATAAATGCAAATTAAAAGGTAAATGACATACGCTCACATGCATGAAGATTTAGCGTCGCAAGAGCAATAGAAACTCATTGGTCCATTTTCGAAGCCCCTTTCTTAGTGGCTACGCTGATGTTCACTTGTGAATTATACCGCCGGGATTCGAACCTGGACCTCTCGAATGTGCGCTGAGTGTGCTACCGTTACACCACGAAGACATGCAGAAACGAGGGAGAAAATACCTTATAGACTGACACTGACGAAGGTTTAAATTTTTATTCGGCGTAATTATTTGTTACAATAGAACACTTCTAAACATAAAAAAACTGTTGTTGCGCAGGCTTTTGCAAAATGAATAGGCAAAACTAACGAAACAAAGTACGAAAAAAATACAGTAAAACGCTACTATAGCCAACCCGGCTTATAATTAACCCTCGAGCTCTTATATTAAACTCATATATGTAAGTTTAGCTCGGATAATGAGCTAACTTTCTGGTCCAGCTCAATTTCCTATTATCTTAATGTTATTTTATACGGCTATGACGAAATTCCAAATTCATAAAGTCAGATATCACGAACTTTGTGCACATCTTAAAACTGAAAATGTTTCGTATTTTTCAATTTTTTTTTTTTTTTTTTTTTTCCAGAATTTCCGCAATTTTTAACCGAAAAAGTATTATCTATTTAATTCACTCTGTTTTAGGGTATTAAAAGAATGAAAAATCTTTGAATTATTATTCTTTTATCTTCTCCTCCACCTTTTTTTCCCGTATTCTAAACAAAAGCCTATGTATAGCATGAGTCATTCTTGGAAAAATCAATCTCGGCAGTGCTTAAATTATGCGGGAGCCCACCGGAGCCCGGCTCCGGTAATTCTCAATTTTTAAGATAAATTACAATTCCTGCCGGAGCGCACCGGAGCCCTAAATAAGATGAGCTCCTGTACTTCTTTTTATAAAACTGAACTACAATTTAAAGGGAAAAAAATTAGAATTCCTAATGTTTTAGTTTAATAATAAGCAGGTCTGACAATACACTATTTCCCTAGAAATACGAACTCATGAGAACATGAGACATTCAAGTAAAGTCTCCTCACTCACATGCGGAAACCTTTCCCTTTAAGAAGGGCAATAAATTTGGGAGAGTTTGTTTAGGAACGCGTAAATTTCTCGCCAATGACATCGTATCTAGTGTATTGTTATCGATGCTTACAGTTAGTTATTCTGGCAGGAAGGAAAATTTGTATTCTTAAATGTGCGTTAAGTGACAGCAAGTACAATAAGAATGTTTATTGAGATAAAACTGCTGAAGCACGTACTATACATCGTCTTCTCACAATATCCACTAATGGGGGGGGGAAGAAGGCGTAACCAGTAACTTTACATTCACCCTCAGGAGTCAGATTCAGGACTCAATTTACCCCTGCTTCATGGCTATAATTATATCAGCAGAGAGCCGCTGTCAAAGAGAACGTTTTCTTTCACCAAGATTCCCTTCATTTTTGTTTCCACCCACTCATACCCGCATTCTGTTTCGCGCTGGAATTTTCATCAGCTATACTTTAAGTATATTTAATTTTTGTTATGATAAAAGAACTCCCCCCCCCCTAAGATCAGAGCTTAAATTAGTTCGGAGCCCACCGGATTTCGGCTCCGGTGCTTCTTAATTTTTGTAATAAATCATAATTCTAGCCGGAACGCACCGGAACCCTGAATAAGAAGGCTGTGGCACTTCTTTTATGTAATTGAATAACAATTTCAGTCGAAACTTTATCTTGAAAATTTTATTCTAACGATAAAATGATATTAAAAATCACTTATTAAATTTCAATTTATCTCTTTACATTTTATTTAATTTTAATTATTTAATTATTTGAATAAATAATAATAAATTATCTAATAATTATTGACTAAATGACAATTAATAAACCTTAATTAAATAGCTATTAATTAATTTGATAATAATTAACTATTTAATTTTAAAATTATTAATCAGTTTAATAGTCATTTTATTTATTTATTTACTCTTGTTCCTCTTTGCTGACGGTCTTCCATGAGGCTCCGGCACTTCTAATCTTAGACATTAAGCTCTGAATCTTGGAAAACCAAGACCCACAATAAACATAACTTAGGAGATCCCTATGTGTGAAGCACTGAGCGAAAGAACTACTGATTCATTAGGACAAATTTTTTTTCATAAGTAATTTTTCCTGTAAAATTATTAAAGTATATTGAAACTAAAAAACAAAGAAAAAGAAATTTAATAGTTGCACGGAATAACTCATATAATATTAAGTTTGAATATGTTTCTAAAATTAAAGTTACTGTTAACATCTTTTTGAAGATGTGTCAATGCTAATCACTTTTTCTGTGCAATTCATCAATCATTTTTGACACTATTTTGTGAGAGAATTCATTTTTTACTCGTCGCATCGGATATAGCGAACCACATGTTTGTTCCTTGAAGTTCGTTATAGCGGGATTCGACTTTATGTTAATGTTATTATAAGTTTTACATAAATTGTAGTGCTGTCTTGAGATATAATTAGTTCTTAACTTTTGTAGGAGGGGCAAAAATGAATTTTTAAATAAGTTTTCCCTTTTTTAGCCCAAAGGGCGTTAGCCCAGAAGGGCTATTAATTTCGTTTTGGCATTTTGTGGCGTTTCACTATAAATGGCGTTTCATTCTTAAAATTGTTGTCACTAAATATTAGAGCCCTGCATTATATTTAAAGAAATTAAATAATCAAGAATATTCATGAATGTAGATATTCTCGTATTGTGAAAAAACAACGGTACCAAGAGACATCCAATTTTGAATTAGTAGTCCTTCCCTCGAGTTTTGGCATCTGGAAGCCCAAATTTGGAAATTGGAATTTGTTTCATTATCTATTTCATATTTTGCAAAATGTTAGCTAATTTTTAATTAACAACCTCGATGATTACAAAGCGAGCAATGGCAACACTGTAAAGAAAAAAAAAAAAAAAAAAAAAAAAAAAATGTTTTATCTCCAGCCCCGCGAGACTGTGTATGGGAAATTCTACAGATATGCTCTTTTAAATATTTTGTGATATTGGTGTTGAACTGAATTTTATGGTTTAAGTACGAAAAACATGATATTTAATAAATAAAGATAACACATAAAACGTTAAATAAACGCTCCTTTGGGTGTAATATAAAATCTGAAAGCTTTCAGATTTTTATTTTTATTTAATTTTTATTTTATTATTTTTACTTCCTTGTACGAAGTAAAAAGAAAGTATTGTAATCGCGAAAAGTTTCAGGCAGCATATTTCAACGAAAATAGCCATTTTGACCGCTATCGAATGCAATTTAACGATATTTTTGCGTGATATCTGTACGTAAGGACAGAATAAAATACTCTTTTCCTTCAAACAAATTATAAAACTGCTTTAAAATTAATTCTGAAGAGAATTTTTCGTGGCGTCTGTACGAACGTATGTATCTCGCATAACTCAAAAACGAGTAGCCTCAGAACGTTGAAATTTTGTATATAGGACTGCTATAACATGTAGATGTGCACCTCGTATTTTGGTTGCAATAGGCCGCACCAAACGTATATAAATATATTTATATAGATAGCCACTCTGTTACCCGGCTCAGTGATCTCAGTTTCTTTACCCTTATATGTTTGTAAATTGTACATTTTTTGCTTTAAAAATGATTGTATTATGTTGTTTTTATCTTCCGGTTAAGGTTTTTATGCCTTTAGTAAATCTGTATGCAATATTTTTAGAATTATCAACAATTTTAAAGTTGTCTAAGTGCCGCTAAGCCTTTTTTCTATGGATTATATAACAGTTAACTTAGTTTCCGTTATATAATTATTATATAAGTTAACTGTTATATATTTTATATAGTTAATTTTATAATTATTATATAAGTTAACTGTTATATAATTATTAATACTGTTAAGTGAATCTAGCACTAAAGTGTCGCTATAATAAACAAATACTAGAGTGAATTTTAAAGAATGCATTTATTCTATTGTGGTTTATGCGCTGTCGGCGAAGTAGATTTAATTCAATCCAATAAGTTTAAATGAAATGCAAGAAAAAATGCGTATAATTTAATATTCCGTACAAGGAAGTCATATGGTGTACACATCAGATTTTTTCTTTCAACGATGCAAGATATTCAATATTTTTTTTAACTAAACTTTTGTGCTTGTTAAATAATAATAAAAATACTCTTTCTGTGCTATTTGCTGTAAGATTATTTTATTTCCTATAAAAAGACCAATGCACTTTACATTAGATATCTATAGCGAAACAGTTTTTTTGCCTTTTAACTGTAAGAAAAGAATTACAGTACTAATCCTAAAGCTAATACACTGCTCTGTTTTATTAAGAAAAAAATAATCTGGTTTAGAGAAGCCATGGAGGTTCCGTCAGCTTAGAAACGTTCACGCATCGCAGAGTATAGTCGTCACATTGTAAACCAGGAGCACAGGAAAATTTCGGTTCGTACATCTTATCAATAAGGGCATTGCAAGGTTCTCCTTCAACTGAAAATTAAAAAAAAAAGAAAGAAAGAAAGAAAGAATTATTAATATCAAGAAAGAAAGTTGCAAGAGAAACGTTTTTTAAGTAATCAAAGTAGAGTAAAAAAGGGGAAAAAAAATTACAAGTTACGAGGAAATACAATATTATTACACACTTTACATAACGGTTATGCTAATTATCTCAGAATTTCCCCATTTATATCATCGCGCTTCAGTAAATTATAATTGAAGGAATAGGTTTAAAACTTCAAATTAACGAGTCATTCATTAGTATGTAATTAATAAAGTAGTGCTTAAAATGCTTTCTAAATTGCATGATTTTAGTTAAATGAAAGCATAAAAAATAAAACTTTTTTTGTTTTAATATTCTGACTCATGTGCAACTAAAAATAAAATCGATGGGTTACTAACGATAACGAATTTTAAATCAAAATTGCCAAATGGAAATTTAACCTAATTTCGTGCAATCATTCCAATATATGGTGTTCCTATAGTATCATCTTATTTGTCCTTTAACATTGCAGGACAGTTCTAATATTAGTGTCTTATAATTCTATTATAGCTGCATATGGTTATGAGTCTTATGAAAGTTTTTTTTTAACTTTTGAATGCATTAAATTAAAACGGTGTAGTTTGAAAATTATTTTATATATTTCCTAGTTCTTTAGTTACAGAATGGATAAGAAAAACAAACAAAATTATTACCTCTAAACTTAAGAAAATTATTCTTTCTGAGCAGCATATCAATGAATTTCGCGAGACACCTTTTTTCAAGATCTTGCAATCTGTTTGACAACGTAAGATTGAATTCAATTTATTCAAATTTCTATTTGATTTCAAAATCCGCTCTGATTAGTAGTTAAAGTTATTAATAATAAAAGATTAATTTTTTTATTTAAAAATTTGTCTTGTAAGCAGTCGTAGTATGGTTAGACAATCTAGCAGATCAAGTGGCCAGCACATTCTCCAAAGTTAAATTCGATAGAACATGTGTAGGATGCACTAGGTTTTCCACTAAGACTTGCGACACTACAGCCTTCATTAGCACGCTCCAGGAACTTTATGTCGCTATGTACTTACATTGTTATTGCAAGAACTCTTCACGGCATGGAAAATCTGTGTAAAGCTCGCTAGGAAATATAGAGACAGGGTCATTACAAATAAACCTAATGCCGCTACTTTTCCAGAGTCTCCAAATGTAGTAGAGGAATCAAGGCTTCCAGTACTTAAAATATTTAACATTTAATCGAGGCTTTGCTCTACTCTGGATTTTGCCAATTAAGCATGATAACGTATGGTAAATCAAGTTTTCAAATCACGCAGCTACAACAGTATAATTTTTCCAGTAACGGCGCTCTTATCTGGATGCTAGTTTGGAATGCTAATGGCCTCGCGAGTTGCATGAGTTTAGAGATTTTGTTCTTGGTAATGATAATGACATCTGCCTTATTTCAGATACGCATGTTCACCGGGTGATAATCTATAAATCAAATATTACTGTTCTTATCGCTGTGATCGGTTAAATTACAAGGGAGAGGTAATCTTGAATTTGTTCATATTAAATTTTCTTCCTGTTTTGTGGTCTCAGATAAAAACCTTAGTTTTGAAATTGTAAAGGTCTCATTGCACCTGCCATATTCGAATTTACAAATTGCAGTGGAGATACACTCTTCGCTGAAACTTATAATCCCACCCGCAACACAGACAAACTGACGCTGTTGTCTCGGCCATCCTTTCTGGTTCCTCTTCAGTTATTCTCGAAGACTCTTTTAATTCGGAATACTGTGACTGGGTCTGTCGCCGCACCAATATCAAAGGCAAAGTGTTTCATGAATTTAATCAAAAGCATCCTGTTGCATTTTATATCCAATAAAACCGACATACAGACCTTTTAAGCCACAAAGGTACGAAGAAATTAGTTTTGATCACGTTCCAGTTGTGGCTTCCCTCGGAGTCTCCGAGGACATCATTCCAAAATCATAAAACACTGAAGCCTGAAGGCTTTCCATAATATTCTTAGAATAAAACCCCAAAGCTTCCTGCCTGAAAAGCCTGATACACTGATTGTTATTCACATGATGCACTTAAGAGGCATTCGTTATAGCTGAATTAGCTTATTAAGGCCAATATTTCTTGGTGGCATACGAATAATCATTCGACTGTTGGACTATTGAACTAACTTGCATTACTTGTAGCGCAGATCTTTGGCTGTTGCTGCTACCGTTTGCTTCGCCTAGCCCATCTTCGTAATCGAAATGGCGTTATGCACCCGGTAAGCAGACTCGCGCCAAGCGTAATCGGCGCCGTCATGCAAAATGTCTAGCGAGCGCCTTTATGTAGTGGCGATATTAAACGGACATTACTTATGGTTAGCATTTAAAATGAATCATTATTAACATAATAATATGAAAAAAAAAAAAAAAAAAAAAAAAAAAAAATTACATTTTATCTTTTGGCTAGACATGCAAACATTTTGTGCTATGTTAAACCCACACTCAAACATATTTACTGAAGAATTATACATACATTTATGTTATAAAAAAAGCCCCTCAACCGGTATAGTGGTTAGCGTTGCTGACTGACGTGCCGAAGGGCCCGGGTTCGAATCCCGGAGCAAGCATGGATGTTTGTAAATGCGGCATGGAGGCACTGTAAATATGCTAGGCGAAAGTCCTCTCGAAAGATTGGTGGTAGGAGAAGAGGGGCAGGAGACGCTCGGACCCGTCATTCCATCAAAACTGGGGAGCGGAACTGAGCTAAATCGCACTGTCACCTGTAAGGTGCTAAACACAGGTGCCTGTTGCCAACGACAGGCGTATCTTGCGCTCCTTGCCACGAGGAATTTGTGGGCTTGGGCTGACTACAGGTCAGACAAGTGAGCATTAGTCAACAACAACAACAACAACATGCTATAAAAAAGTAACATTGCAAGCGAAGCGAAATTAATATTGTTACGAAATGTAAAGGCGCGGTGAGATGGCTTCCCCGCAAAGCAGTTTTAGGGTTGCCATAAAATAACAAGGAGAACAGGGTTTCCACATTTGGCGAGAAATCGCCGCCCATGTGGCGACAAAATTGGCAATATAACATGGACGGTTGGAGAACCTTCTGGAACGAATTCTTACCGGTTTAGTCCAGAATGTTCCCGAACACAAGCCGAAAGCTATATAAACCGTGCTGGTCTGCAGTGAGTGAGTGTGTCTCTCATTGAGAGGAAGTGTGCGTATCTTATCGAGTGAGTGTGCCTCGTCTAGTGAGTCAATCCCTGCGGAGTCGATCGAGTTGACAGCCGGGCAGCGAGTGCCGAGTGGGTCGTCGAGTCCACTGAAGGAGTCTCGTAGAGTATCGCGGTTAGTGCATCGTCGAGAGAGCGTGTTGAGCTCCGGAAACGACTGAACCCAGAGTCAGGAGCTGTGCTCTATGTGTCGTCGAGTGCATCGCGAGTTGTAGCGTGGAGGGTCTCGAGAGTACGTGGACTTCCGAGAACGACCAAGCAGAGTCGGGAGCTGTACTCCAGAAAGCAGAGTTGGCTGCTTTGCAGGAAGCTGTCTCCATCGTGATAGCCTGATAACCTGAAGGCTGTGTCGCTGATCGTGTCAGCGTGTTATTGGCTAAATAAAGTGTAAAATAGTGTGGCTAAATAAAGTGTGTTTCGATACTTCATCAAGTGTCGTCGTTATTCACTCCAAATCTACGAACCCCGTACGAACGTGAAGTAAGAAAATAACGCAACAACTGGTGTCAGAAGAATAGGCAGAGTAGAAAAAAACGTAACAATATTTTTTTACTAAACGCATTACATACAAAATATGTTGCTCAAATTAAAAACAAATTAGTATACATATCTAATAAGTTTGCACTGAATAAACTGTTGTACCCAGCGTAGTTCACTACAAGGCTCAAACTGTGATTACAACAGGGCACAAAAAGTGCTGTAGGGATGTTATCTAGGGACATATGCAAAATTCTTTTCTGCACACCGCTATGTTGTTGACAACGATTTAGCTCAGAGTTTCAACTGGCGATGCTACATTTCCTCCACGTTGACATACGTTTAGCTGATCTTGTATATGTGTATCTAATCTTCTATACTAATACATGATCTTGTACACTAATATATGTGAACAAAAATAAGTGATGCCGTTGCGTATGTAAGGGTACAGGGGCGCCGTAAATACGTTCAACAAATTGCTTAGGTCTTATTTTTTGTCTATTGTCGCAATCGTAGTAATTTGTGGAACATTAATTTTCTTTGTTTTTTATTTGGTGATTGCTTATTATTATTGTTCTTCTACATAAAGAAAGGTAAGTGCACTTACATATTATGTTAAACTTAGGCTAGGTTTTTAATTCAGAAAACCGACGATAGCATAATTACTCGATTTTTTTTTTACATGAACCATTTGTTTGTTAAACTAAAATTTATTATCTTTCGAGAAGATAGGTCTGACATATTTACGGAGTAAGACTGAATTTAAAATATAACTGTTTGAGATTTGAAGTTAAGTAAAAACATACAAGGTATTCTGAGACCAAAACTGGCCATTTTCCGATTTTTAGCCGAAGGAAAATGTTTCGTTATTTCATTACGTCTTAAATACATACTTTAATTTTGATTTATTTGCTTTAATAAACAAAAGAGTACCACCACCTTCTTGAATTATTTGGTATTGATCTAATAGTTCATATATTTTCCAAGCAATGTTTTAAGATATACTCACTTTTTCACAAATAAGGTAATACTTCAAACAGTGACTTTCCGAGTGTTTTACCCAATAGTTCTTATAATAGTTATTTTCTATTTTTATTTTTACTTCCACTTCTGTTTTCACTTTCTCCCATATGTCGGAAGAAAAACAGAAAAAAATTGTGTAAGTATCAGAATATAATGAAGAAAAAGAAAGTGAAAGGAAGGCTTAATAAAACAGAACTTTAAAATTACTCAGTTTTTTTTTTTTTTTTGCAAAACCCAAAGAATACCCAAGCTGACGCTACTAGCACTAGTTGTTCATCAACGCCTCAGCTACCATTGTAATTATCAAAAGAACCTAATAATCAGAAGGAGTTAGAAAGTGTTTTCACTCGGGAATTACCTTTAACTTCAATGCAGCCGGTCGAAAAAAACAGAAGAAATATGATTAAAATGTACAATTTCTGCAGTAGTTACTCATTTGCCTATATCTGATGATTCCGGATTAAGCCTAAGTCCAAGATTGCCATCCCAAGTTCAAGCCTTAATAGAAAATGGTCCTGGATGTTATCAAAACCTGTTTTCAGTTTTAGTTTCCCAAAAAACGAAAATGAACGTAAATTGTTTTAGATGTACTTTTGTCGAATCTCGCCAAACAACGAAAGAGTTAACGCGATTTCTTAGAACGATTACGAAAGAATAAACCTGTTAATTTAGAATTTCAAATTTTATTAAAAAAAGAGACTAAACATTGACGCGATGTTATTGAAAGTATTATCTATGCCATTCACTTTTTACCCAAACAAAACTTAGTCCAGTAACTTCTGTGGTTCCAGTAACAAATTATTCGAAAGAAATAATAATTGTTTAAATTGTTTAAAAGTGTATAGAAATGATCACAAAATTTGACCCTATCGTGTCTGTATTAATAAATTCAAAATAAATTCAAATAATTAGCTTATTAGGGGATAATATAAAGTTAGTTATTTTAAATAAGGTTTAAACAGGCAAAGCATTTTTCTATTTTACTCCTGTTGCCAGCCCAATTTGTATGAGGTATCTTAATTTAGAAATTACGGACATGAGTATTGAAGAAAGGTTTTTAGTATTACAACAGATACGGACAACAGTCTTATTAAAGACTTTAAAAAAGAGCAAAATGGATTAGATATTAGTAATTTACGCGGCCAAGAATACGACAGTTTCCGAGTTAAAAATGCAACCTAAGTTTAACATAATATATAACTATACTTACATTATTTTATGCAGAAAAACAATAACAACAAGCAATCACAAAAAAGATAAATATTGCACAAATTACTACGATTGCAGCAGTAGACACGAAATAAGGATTAGGTAATTTGTCGAACGCGTCTACCCTTACATACGCATCGGCAACAAGTATTTTCACGTTCAAATATGACAGAAGAGAACACCAGAGGAGAACTCCTGCCCTGGCTGTAACTTTCGGTCAAATAAAACAGTGTGCAAGGAGAAAGGGGCACTCAGACCTGGCAAGTTCCAGGCTGCCTTAACACAGCCTTAACTCAGTGTAACAGTTAAACGCTCCGACCCCCAGAGCCGACCGAAGAGGCCGCTCGACCGAATTGGTCGAGCCGACGAGCTAAGCAGAGTCGACAGAAATACTCAGCAACTGACATTCCACGTCCCCGTTCTGGAGGGATGGTAAAAGCATCTGCCATCAACAGGGGCCCCAACCCCGGACATTTAAACACTGTCAGGCAGACCGGGCCACCAATCCGGCCTGCTAACATTACGTCATGGTATATAGATTTTGGCTTTAGGCGCCCCCAGGGGCAAGCCAAGGAAGGATATGAATATGCAGTTTTGAGGCTCAGGCGCACACTGGAAACCTCAAGCAATTTAAAGGCTCGCTGAATTCGCTAATTTTACCCCGGGCAACCATGAATGGGGTATTTTGCCCCGGGCAACCATGAATATCTGGCTATATAGCTTCACCACAACCAAAGGAACGGACAAGGCAGTACCATATGGTCCCTGCCGAGCCTGAAACAGCCATCGTCAGCGATGACTTCAGTCCTGTGGAGACTGAATTTAAACATCCGTGGCTGAGACTGCCTAAGTACAGATCTTAATCAGTAACTTCCCAGGTTTTAAATGAGTCGATCCCCGGAAGGGCGTTTAAATAAGAGAAGAATTTTCTTGTTCAGACAGGCAGAGAGACGAACTGCTTGTTTTAATGATTGCTGGCGACTTTCTGACTCAGCTCCAGCACGACCTTGCACCTATTGTCGGCGAAGGCTTGCCGGTAAGTGTGAACTTTTTAGATTCTGCGACACAAGTAAGAATTGTATTTAAGCCAGTTAATTTATTGTACTATCCAGCCAACACCTGCAAGTCATTGAGACTTACATTTTGTGCTGTATTTATTTTAACTCACCAGGTGTAAGAAAAGAAAGTTAATATTTTACATTTTGTGAACCTGTTGTTTCCACAATCAGTTTAAGTTAAGGGTGACAACTCTTTATCACAGTAAGGCTTGATGGTGAATGGTTGGTAGAGGTATTTAATTAGCTAGCACCCTATCAACAGTTGCATATTACACTCCTTCTACCCTTCAACTGCTTTATTAAAACTTAATACCATGACTCTTCTAGTAGATTTTAATTGTAGCTTGATATGTTCACAAAAATAATACATTTAGTAAAATTAAAACAAAAGGAACTTTCCGAATTAAAAAAAAAAAGTATTTTGCAGTTGCTTTCAGTTTTAGTCAATGGATGGCGCCAGAAGTTTTGCTTTCCTCTTCATTAGCTGGAATCTTCTCTGATTATTATCTGTTGTTATCGCATAAGCACATGTTGACCTTTTGTCATTTTTACTCCTGTAGCTGAAGAAGAAAGCTTTAGTTAACCTTCAAAGCCATAACCCTGCAAAATTACGCATGTTGATTCTTATTCCTGTAGTATCATTTAATAATTTTTAAATTAAAATGTTCAACCTGTTTCGAAAATAAATAACAAATTAACTTTGAAATAATAATATAAAGACATAGTAACACAAATAATATATAAAGTACTAAACTAATTAATCAATACTTAATAATTTTACCATATTTTTTTCCCTTAAAACGAAGCAAAATTGTCGAAAATTTAAAAAAGAAACTATTCGATTATTTAATTCAAGTTCTCTATAAAAATATCCTTTTAAAGTTTTTTTTTGGGGGGGGGGGGGTAAAAAGCTTTTGCATGTTCCCTCTATTACTTTAAGTCTGTTGAAACGTTTATCATTAATTTCTTTTTTCTTCTTAACAAAAGTAAGTGACAGCTTCAAAAATATTGTTAATGCAACTTACGAATTCTGTTACGAGTGAAACTATTTGATGTAATTGCAAACTATGGATATCAGACAGGAGGAAGTAATCAGTAAAGCAGGGAATGAAAATATTTTCGTTTTTCAGCAAGCTTATAGACAGAGAAATCATTTTAGAATGTGGTATTGATGCTTGTAGAAGGGTTTCTATAAGCAAGCTTGGAATATGTAAACACGAAAATATTTCTGCAAACAAACTTATAGAAAAAGAGAATTTTAAATCTGTATTTCTGAGGCCAATATTACTGCATTTCCATGTGATTCGAGAACAAATGTTACGATGGCAATGATACATTGATTGAAAATGAAGTTTCCTATTATAAAATAGTTAAATGTTTAATGCATTTAATGACTACTAGATGCCTAGGTATGTCTTCCCTGCGTCACGTACTGCTAGAAAAGTGGAAAATCCTTTGGTCAGAATGCTAAGATTTTACTACGCGACAAATATACAAGTTGAAAAACGATCATGAGTTTGTATTCGCTCAGTTCTCAGTCAAAAATTATGTAAATTCCTTCTTAATTTTACATTCACAGTAGACATGTACTCAGGCAATTTCGTTCGGTTTCAGAAAAAGAATTTCTGAGGAGATAAAATTACTTGCAAAATGTAAAGAGAAAAAGGTTACATACATCTAATGACTATGCATTCATCACAACAATTACAGAGACCACCTTTCTTCTTCATATAAGAATGCGGATATTCGCATTCTCTTGGGATTTCGCAATGCATGAACTTGCATATAGCAGGAAAACAATGGAATTTCTTCTTAGGAATTCCTAACACGGATACTGAAGCCAGCAAAAGTAAAATTGCTCCCACCTGTTAAAAAAGACAAAATAAATGTTTGAATTTGTCCTTTTATTAATTCCTAAATAAATATTCTTTAATAGTCATCAGAGTATTATTGATGACTAAACTAGCTCATACAGACAATAAAAAAAATTACTGATTTAATTTTTATTCTTCTTAATCGAAACTGAGCGCCCGATTTTACAAAACCGGAGCACCGGGAAAATTTAAAACAGAGTGTCGCCTTTCTCAAATTTTTATATCCTTGCACAAAGTATATTGTTATGAAATGTGCAGTCGCGGGAAGATAGCTTCCACGCAAGGCGGGTTTAGGGTTGCCGGAAAATGGCAAGGAAAGGCGGGGTTGCCCTGTTTTGCCCAAAATCGCCGATATTTCGACAAAATTGGCGATATGCCATGGACGGAGAGAGAAAATTCTGGAACGAATTCTTACCGCTTTGCCGCAGAATTTCTTGAAGGCAGGCCAAAAGCTATATAAACCCTGCCTGTTTGCGGAGTAGCAGTTTAATGCAGAGGTGTCACGTTAGTGTACCTCGAATTGGTGCACCCAGAGTGTACAATGTTGAGCCTATCAAGTGTACCATCGAGTGCATCGCGAGCCATAGTGTGGAGAGTCTCGAGATTGAGTACGTTGAGTTCCGACAACGACCGAACCGAGTCGGGAGCTGTACTCTAGTGCTTTGCGGGTTTAGTGTTGCCATAAAATGGCAAGGGATGGCAGGGTTGCCATATTTGGTGAGAAATCGCCCATTTGGCGACAAAATTGGCGACTTGTAATGGACGAATGGAGAACCTTCTAGAACGAATTATTACCGGTTTGGACCAGAATGTTCTAGAAGGCATCCCAAAAGCTATATAAACCCTGCCTGCACGCCGAGTCGGGAGCTGTACTCTAGTGATTATCATCCAGGGCATCGCGAGTTGTAGAGTTTCGAGCATAAGTAGAGTTCCGAGAACGACTGAACCGAGTCGGGAGCTGTACACTGGTGCTTTGCCGTGAAGCTGTCTGCACCGTTATAGCTTGAAAGCCTGAAGGCTGTGTCACTAATTGTTTCAGCGTGTTTATAGCAGTTTTTCGACGAAAACGTGATTTTGGAGCTGTACTGAGTAATACTGGCTAAATAAATTCTGTGTGATTCTTCATCAAGTGTTGTTGTCAATCGCTCCATATCCACGAACCTGTGCAAGAAAGCAACAAAATAATAATCTTGTGTATAGTAGTATACCAATTGTCTAACGTCTAATGTTTTGGGCTGCCATTGTTTGTAATGATTTGAAACAAAATTGTAACATAGATAAAGTTTTCGGGTCTGAATTTGAAAAATAATTCGAATTGATAGTTAAGATTGTATTCACGTTTTTACACCGTTTTTGTTTGATAGAAGGGAGTGATTTTTATCTCCTCCCCCCCCCCTCCTCAAAGGAGGAGAATCACCTATTTGCTTCAGTTCTTTAGATTTAAAAAAATCAGCTGCCTCTTTTCAATACATTTTTACCTCATTGTACAAAGTAGTGTAATCGCAAAAAATTTCGAATATCATATTTCAATGGAAATACCAAATTTGATCATTCCCGAATCCATTTTAACGCTCTTTTGCTTGGCGTCTGTACGTACGGGCAGAATAAAACACTTTTTATTTCCCAAACGGATTGTAAAATGGATATGGATTCAAAATGGAATTTTTCGTGACTACTGTAAGTACATACGTAGTACGTATCTATATATGTATGTCGCATAAGTAAAAAACGACTAACATTATAAAAGTAGAAATTCTGTATATGAGATTGCAGTAACATCTAGTTACACACCTCGGTTTCTTATTGCAGTCGGCAATTCGAAATGTGTATATATATATATATATTGAATGATCTAAATTTCATTGAATTCGAAAACAAGTTTTTCTGATACTTGCGCAATAGCTGCATAGTAAGATAATAATAATTTATTTACTAAAGAAATATTGATTATATTATCTCCCAATATAAATTTAGTAGAATATATCAAAATGAGGGAAGTCATAAGTAGGAAGTTTAATTCCGAAAATTGTTTTTTAAAGGAACTTGAGTGTAAATGATGAAAAAAACTGTTTGAGGGGACTTGAGTTTAAGGGGACAGTTTTGGCCTAACTTAATTTACCAGTTTGGCATCATCATTCTTACTTGAGTAAAAGACGAAACACCTTTGCATTTATTAATTTTTGTTCATTAAACGGGAGTTGGTTTGTTCCCCTTGAAAACTCAACTAATTTCCGATCAATGACGATAATTATTGTTTTTTTAATTTCTTTTTCAAAATTTGAAATTTTGTTATTCATGATTTAAATTTAAGTCCCCTTAAAAAGTTTTTTTCATGATTTACATTAAAGTTCCTTTAAAAAAACAATTTTCGGAATTAAACTTCCTACTCATGGGTTCCCTAATTTTGATACATTCTACTAAATTTATATTAGAAGATAATATAATCAATATTTCTTTAGTAAGTAATTTATATATATATATGTAAGAAAAGTAAAGAATATGTAAAAGATTAAGTTAGCAGCGTAAATTAATTTTCCTTCTCTATTCTAAAAATAGCAACATCTATTTGCACTGCGTCATTTCGAGAAAAATCTATGTCTTATAAATCTTGCGTAATTCTGGTGATGTAAGTTGAACTAAAACTCAAGCAGCCAATAATAATTTTACAGCAATATTAACTATCCAATCAAAATGCTTTGAGAACCCAAACTAACTCAGATTTCATCCTGAACATTACGCACTTTCTTTCTACGCTTTGCCTTAGCTGGACTGCAGTCTGTTTAATCCTTCTCTTTTGCTGCAAATCTATCAAAAATGTAGGCGTTTTGGAACAGTGCTGACTTGTGTGTAGCCTCAACATGTTGCTGAAAATAAAACTGAAGATTTAATCTGTCGTCGCCTCTATCTAGTCATTATGGATCAACAGTTCTACGCCATCAAAATTCCTGCTTCTGAATATATTACACACACATATGTATATGTAATATACGGTATATTCATATATATATATATATACTATATACATTTAAATAAATTAAAATTTAATTTTAACAAACACGTATAAAAGTAAAAAGGCAATTTAAATCCTAAAAAAAAAAAAAAAAAAAACACTAAAATAATTTTTTAAAAAATTTTAAAAAAATGTGCTGACATATAAAGATTTAATTCTCCGAACGAATCTACATATCATTTAAATTCAGAAGTATAAGCAAGTCAAGTCCAAAATCAATCCATGAAATAAATTCACTAATTTAGAAAATTAAATTAAACTAAATAATTTTTTTATAAAAATGCATAAGTGAATGACCGTTGAATAGGCAGGACAGACTTATCAAGGGGAAGTTGCCTCCAAACCTAACTCTCCAATCATTCAATTCGTGTTTTCGTCATTCATGCAGCAAGGGTAAAAAGTCAAAACCAAAAGAATACCAATAAAGTGGTACCTTAGAAATTAACATTTTAAAATTAAATTTAAGAATAAAGTTCTAAAAGGAAAATACTAATGAAGTCCTCTGAGAAACAAGCAAGTAAAGTCAAGAATTAAATGAAACTTTTTTTTAAAAAATTAAATTTTTTTAAAAAATTAATTCCCTATAAAAAATCTAGAAACCAATGTATTTAGAACCCTTATCTACAGAAACCTCCCCGATACGAAATGTATATCAATAAAAAGAAACTAAAATATAACTAGACCATAATCCGTATAACCAATAAGAAACAAAAAGACTAATTCACAATTTTTAAAAAAACAAATATATATTTAAAAATATAATTTCATATTTAGAAAATACTTAAATACTACATCAAAAATTTTAATAAATACTTAAAGCAGTAAAATAGTAAGTTTTAATTCTAACTTACCTACTAATGAGTGTTGGGGGTCTGCAAAAGTGTTGTAAAAGAGAAGTAAATGTGTTCTTCAAATTATATAGATGGCGCTTATGTAGGTAAAGTTGAGTGTCAAGCTGCTATCTTTGTTATAGTAAAAAATTTTTTTGTAAACATTAATATTAAAAATTAAATTAAAAATTAAAAATCCTAAAGGTAGTAATTAAGTAACTGAGCCAATCAAGAGATGTAAGTTTATTTGAAGGAAAGTAAAGTTAAGTGGTATTGTGAATAAAAAATGTAAACTGTTTGTAATGTGAAATGTGTGTTCTGTTGAAAAATTGTGTAAAAATTGTAAAAAACGTAAAGTGAAAAATTTTTTTGTGTGAAAATTGCAAATTGAAGTAATTAAGAAAAACTGAAATATTTTAAAATTAAAGTTTTAAAGTAAAATTTCCCAAAATTTTTTAACGAAGTATTAAAAACCTCTAAAAATCTTCAGAAATTAAAAAAAAATCCTGAGGAAGTTAATTAAAAGTTATATTTAATGAAAGAAAATATGAAAAGTTTAATGAACTTGATTTCAATTGGTATATCAAAACTTAACTAAATACTGCCTAAAGTATGGAAAATTAGAAGAAGAAGATTAAAATCTTCACTCAATTCGGGCTATAATTGAGACTTTTGAAAAGATTTGGCCCTTTATTAGTAAAAGGAAAGAATCCAGTATTGATTAAATATACATATTTACAAAATATTTACAATAAAAATTTACAAGATAATTTCTCTACTCTTTTATATCCTTCATTACCCTCCAGCTAAGGTTTAAGGTAATGTTATCATATCCAAAAGAGCCAAAAAATTATAAAGTAAAGTTAAGGTCTGCGTTTTTAATATATAAATTAATAATAACATATACTCCCATCCTTACCTGACTTTTATATTCACAGCCTCACAGCCGCTGGTGGCAGTCATTTAGTTCCAGTTAAAGAAGTATTTTAAATGATGAAAATATTCATGTTTTAGCAATGTCAAATATAAAAAAATAAAAAATAATAATTTTCGGTAGTAAAGAAATCTTACTATATATAAAATTCAGCTTACATATGTAATAAGTTTAACAATAAATATCTGACAATATATAATACCAGTTTATTGTTGTAAATAGCTAACACTATTTAATATCAGTTTGTTGTTGTTCTAAAAAGAATATTTAATAGGCCGTGCAAGGAAGTCATGTGGTGTCCACATGCTCCGCCCTTAGGCACTACACGGAAAGAGAGGGATGCCCAGTGGAAGTCTTTTTAAGGAAATCTGGTTCATATCCACGTTACAAATGGGGAAAAACACGGAAACATCCATTCTGCCAGCCCGTTCGCCAGGGTTCGAACTCTGGACCAAACTACCAGTGTTCAGCGGCTGTTACCGCTCAGCCGCTGGATCAGATTTTTTTTTTAATGTAGTAAATATCCAAGATTTAAAACCTACATAACATTATACTTATTTTATTTATTATGCTTATTTTAATTATTATAAGAGGAGTTGAAGCCTCCTTGAAAATAGAGGTCCGAGGCACGTGTTCCCTTTGTTCACGTGTACATTAAGCCTTTATTAGAATTAGCCGAAGAGTAACCACAGCACTGAAATTGTTAAGATATCCATATCTAAATAGAAATTAATTTACTATTTGTTTCTATTTTAAAGCAAAAATACCATGAAACGTAAATCCAAACCAAAGCTATTAATACTGAATTGCCTTGAAATTTTGCTGGATCTTTGGAATAGGAGAAAAACCCGCATCTAAAATTATGTATTTCTCTCACATTTACCTATCAATAGTGGCAAATAAAAATTTCGTTGTCGAATGATCTTTTCTTTCAAAGGAAGGGAAATACTACTTAAATAGCTCTGACCGCAAAAATTGTTAATGTTAGTTCCAGGACGCGAAAATTTTGACGATTTAAATTATTGAAACTGTTGTACCGTTAATTATAGCGATTTGATTCCGTAGCGTTGAGTGCTTCTAATCATTTGACTTTTCTCTCCGATTAAGTCTTTCCTGCGCGTTACTTTATCATGTGAACGGTTCGGCTGATTTATTACATTTTGGTTCAATATTATATATTTTTAGCCAGAAGTGTTGGCTTCTGTAAACCCAAGCTGGGTCATTTTGTTACTTCTTTGTGTTCAAATAAAAGGGTCTTATACACCCTTCTTCATGACTTTTGTTTTGTTTCACAAGACTAGAAGAAGAATTCTTTAATAGTCTTTTATAAAGTCTGTAGTTTATGCTCCCTAAGAATACATGTATTTTCAGTTAAATAATAGTAATAAAGTATTGTCAGTTCATAAACACTCTGGTTAAGGAGAGACTATTTCACTTTCAGTAACGAGCTCCATCAAAATACAGCAAATTCTGCTTTTCCTAAGCACTTTACATTAACATTATCAATTTGAAAAATCACTAAATCTTCTTCATCTATGTTCACGACGATTCGAGAGCTCTAAACCAATTAAGTATCTACTTTACTGTGCAGTTCTCAACCATAATCAAATATAATAAAAAGTAATGGTGTAGAATTTCATAAAATTCAATATATGAATATACAGTGGCTTAAATTTCATTTTCGGACACTTGTGTTTTTCAGTTTTATTTGCAAATATCAGTTACTAAATATTAACAAAATGACTATTTTTCTTACACATATATTATTGATCATCTATTTTAAAACCTGCTTACTTGGAAAAAAGTTATTCAAAACACTTTTGGGGGAAAAAATTATTCAAGAATTTTTAGTCCAAAGGGATTTGAATCCCGAAGGACTATTAGTTTCGTTTTGGCATTTTGCGTCGGACTCATAAACGTCGGTTCACTTTTCAAACTGTTGCCACAAAATGTTAGAGTCCTGCATTATATTTGAAGAAATTAAATAATGAAAAATCTGCATAAATGTATGTATATTTCTCGTATTGTGATAAAACAACGGTACATAGAGTCATCGAATTTTGAATAACGTAATCTTCCAACGAATATGAGCATGTGGAAGACCAAATTTGAAATTTGAAATTTGTTTTATGATCGATTTCCTATTTTTTTTAAAACTTTGACGAATTTTTGATTAACAAACTCAAGGATTTCAAAGCGAGCAATGGCAACGTTGTGCAGAAAAACATTTTTATCTCCAGCGCGTGAGTCTCTGTATCGGAAATTCTAAAGATATGCTCGTTTTAAAACTATTTTGCGATATTGCTGTTGCACTGGATCTTATGGTTTAAGTGCGAGGAACATGATATTTAATAAAGAAAAGAAACACACAAAATGTTAAAAAACGCCCCTTTGGACGTAATTTAAAATCTGAAACATTTCAGATTTTTTTTTTTTTTTTTTTTTTAATAAACGCACATAATTAGTATTCATGTTTTATTACAGGCTCCTGAGCAGGTGCGAGATTGTTTATATAGCAACGTACAATAATTACACATATCGGTTTCTGTGGCTATTTTTTCCAAGGTGGATTATTTGCAAGAGAGCCCTATGCTGATGAAAGCTAGCCTAAAATCCTTTATCACGAATCATGCAGTTTATATTTAACAAAAACATAAAAATAATGACACATTCAATACTTCTTCCAGTATCCTTTAGCTAAAATTACACTTTTCATGCCCTTTGCATGAATCCAATTAAGTTTTCCGGGTAAAAATGTTCCATTCCTACATAAGAATAGCTTCTAGTAAAGCTTTCAAAACAGTAATCATATTTCCTTACTCTTTCCTCTAACTAATTTCATAGATGTTCCATAAGATATAAATTCGGAGAGTTTTACAAACTTCAGAGCAGTTGTATAATAACTATAGTCACCAAATAAAGATGGCTGGAAAAAACAATATCGATATTAATAAAATAGTTTTATTAAATGAAATAATTACAGTTATTTACATTTTCCGAGGACCTAAAATATATTTTAAATCCATTCATCAAACTAGCAATCTGAAAATCAGTTTTTTTTAATTGTTACCATAGAAACCCTTTGAAATAAAAATTACATTAATATTTTCGTTTAGTTAAATTAAAAAACTTTTTTCTTTTTAATGGGCGTAAATTTAAATTATTTTTTTTAATATTGTTGTTGAATGAAATTATTAATATTTAATATTTTTACAATTTTAATAAGTTTGTACTCCTAAGCTACTCTTCCACCAGTAACTAAGTTACATTCAAAAATTTTAACTTGTGTCTACTGGTAGGAGTTTATTTCAGTCTCTAAATTTTAGTAGAATCCTTATTGGTCTGCAACTTAGAGACTGTTTAGGAGTATATTTTCTTCATTTACTTTCAAGGTGTCCTCTTTAATGCAGGGAAAATCTTCGTTTCCGTTTTCCAAGACAAAGGCTGGTTTTGATTTGTCAATTGATACATTGACTTTTTTCCCTTTTGTTTCAATAGTGAAATATTTTGGTGTGTGTTCAGTCACCAAAAATGGCCCTACATAAAGAGGTTAGAGTCACTTTCTTACTCTCTCTACTCTCAGAATTGCGTGAGAGCATGCTTTTAAGCCCTTATGAACGAAAGCGTTTTGTGAAGTTGTAGAGTCGTCAGGTTATTTTGAAGCAAGTGACTTGAAAAAGAGCAATGCTCTCGGCAGAACTCGAGCCTAGACATTTCGAATATGCACAGAGTGTGCTACCCTACATTTACACCACAAAGGCATGTTGGAAGGAAGAAGAAAATACCTTATAAAGTGTGATGTGATGGTCTTATGAATTCCATTTTTTTTAAAGATTATTTACGAATGATTCTGGTGTTGTACGAATGGAACTTTCTCTGAAAAATTCAGCAGGTAGTTTTATAGGTTGTCCTAAACCATTTCTGCTATTGTATAATTAGTGTCTTCTGGTACTGCAAGTCGTAATTCTTAGAGGGCAGTTGGTAAAGTGTCACTCCAGGCTAGGTTGTTATGGGCTTTTAATGATGCTCTGAGTGACCTATGAAGCCGCTTCATTTTGCCTTTTAACTGCAGATGGTAGGCTATGGTATGATTAAGCTTGATACCACAGAATCGTGACATGTTCTTAAATATTTTGGACGAAAATTGTATCCATGGTCTGTTGCTATTTTACAGGGTGTTTCAGATCTTTTAATCCAATCGTTATAGAAAGGCAATGGTTTCCGCTGATATGTTTTTAACGGAATTACTTCAACCCACGAAAATCCGTAAAAGGGAATAAATATTTTCATTATATATTTCTTCAGTATATAGGGACCGATTATTTTGGTTGAAATGTCTTCCCCAAGAATTTTTCCCTGAAGGTTACGGATATTGTTTAAAATTTAATGAAGTTGAACTTTGCAAATTTTCTAATTCTTCTTCATCAGTTTGGCTTTCTGCTATCTCATCACAATTAATTTATGTTACTTTAAGCTGAGGATGATGTTTTACCGAGCCGTCATCCTCAGCTACCAAAGTGCAAAATGCGACATTTGCAGTGTCTTGCATGTTCACTTCAGATATGGACTTGTTAATATGTTTTGCTAAACAAGTGTTAAATGCCCAGCCGTGGTAAGATAGCTTCCCCGCAAAGCGGGTTTAGGGTTACCAGAAAATGACAAAGGAAGGAAGGGTTGCCATGTTTGGCAGGAAATCGCTTTTTTCGACAAAATCGGTGCTATGCCATGAACAGAGAACATTCTGGAACGGATTCTTACAGGTTTGTCCCAGAATGTTCTCGATGGCATGCCAAAAAATCCTGCATGTACGCGGAGTAGCAGTCTAGTGTCGAGTTTTTCTCGTCAGTGTATCTCGGATTGGTGCATCGAGAGTGTGCATCGTTAAACCTATCGAGTGTATCGTCGAGTGCATCGCGAGCTGTAGCGTGGAGAGTCTCGAGAGTACGTTGAATTCCGAGAACAAACGAACCGTGTTGGGAACTGTACTCTAGTGTTTTGCTGTGAAACTGTCTTTACCGTTATAGCCTGAGGTCTGTGTTGCTGATTGTTTCAGCGTGTTTGTCGTAGTTTTTCGACGACTGTAAACGTGTTTTTGGAGCTATCCTGAGCAATACTCTCTAATAAACTGTGTTTTCATTCCTCATAAAGTGTTGTCATCAGTCATTCCAAATCCACAAACCAGTAGAACGCAACACAAGAAAAATTTTCCAAATAAAGACCATAATTCTTGTAGTGCATATTCATTTATAACAAAAATTATGAAAAATAATCTGAAAACTTTCAGATTTTATATTACTCCCTAAGGGCCGTTTTTCTCTTTTACACATACACACATTTTTCGAGAGCATTTGGGCTAACAGCCTTTTGGGCTAAAAGTATTTTAAAATAACATATCTTTAAAATTTCCGACAGACAGTCTTGCGCGCTGCAGATAAAAATATTTTATTCCGCATAGTGTTGTAACACTGCTAGTTTTGAAATCATTGAGTTTCTTAATTAAAAATTCCTTAATGTTTAAAAAATATAAAATAGGTAATAAAACAAATTCGAAATACAATATTCGGGTTTCCAGGTGAATATGTTCTGGTGAAGGTCTACGTTATTCAAAATTTGATGGTTACAGGTATAGTTGTTTTTCCACAATGACAGAAACATACATGCATTCATGTAGATTCTTCATTATTTAATTTCTTAAATATAATACACAGCGATAATATTTGATGGCAACAATTTGAAAAGTAGTACAGCCGTTTATAGTGATTCGAAGCAAAATAAGTTTCGAGACTAATAACCCTTCTCGGCTACCAAGAAACATTGTCTACAAGAACATTTCAGCAAAAATTTGGAGTGTCGAATTATTTTATGAGTTACCCCGTTTTGAACAAATTATTTTATTACAAGAAATATTTTGGTGATATTTATTTTACAATAAGCGAAGCTGAAAATAGGGAAAAAAACATATTAAAAAAATTTTGAACTCTATATTTAAGGGTTTAGTACCAGATATATACAAATTACTTTCAAAAATGCGAGTGTCCAAAAAAAAAAATATTAGCCAAAGTTTAAAATTTTAATAAATATGATTGCATACATTACCTGGTGTCTTGAAGACAGCTGCATGTTGCTCTAAATAGTGTTAGAATTTGTTAAATCGTTTCAAACATTCAGTCATATGTAATTAATTGTGATCCTGACAGTGTGAATATTCATTTCTTGTCTCTTGGGATACTATTCCTGTTTGCTATACTCGCATTATTCCAAGAATATTGCGACATGAGTCTGAATCATGGAGTTTTTATACTCCGTGGTCTGAATATATATGAGAAAGCACACTTCTGTTGTTTTTTATTTTGAATTCATAAAACAGTTTAAATTTGATTTGAAAATATGGTTTAAAGGTTAATATTTTCATGTAATGTAATGAAAAATTAAATGCGAGAACATTTTTGTATTTTTGGATAAATGGCTTCAACCGTAACAATGCTTAGTTTGTTATTTATTTCGCAAATATGGCAGCATCGTAGGAACCGCATGAAAGAGAGAAGATTTCTGTGTTTGTCGATTATAATTCTTTTCTGATTGTTTATTTTTAAATACAAACATGGCTAGTGTATCTTATCATATCGCGAATTTACTTGAAAAGGTGAGTTTAATTAAAATATAATTTTGAATTGTTATATAAAACGCATAGTACGAAATCTAAAGCCTGTGTGGTTTGAGTGTTGTATATTGTGTTGTTTGTTTATTTTAATGAGAACTCTTGCAATGTGTTGATGTTTTTAAATATTGTAGACTCTGATAATTAGGATTAAAGGGTATGGGTGGCGAAAAAGAAAATAAACATGAAACGTTTTGTTTCTACTCTTTCAATGTGCGCGGTTTTAGTATGAGGATAGTGTCTTTGATAATATTGTAATATGTTTCCGTCTTATTTTTATGATTAATGATCTGCAATCAACACATTAAATTTAAAAGTGGCCAGTAAGTAACAGTGGTATCTGAGGTATATTCAAGCTGGCTTTTGTCTTTATTTCGGCATCTGAACATGAATTCATATAGCTAAGAATCAAAATACTATTAGTACCGCAATGCACCTTGTTTCTTCTAAGAGAAGTATCGAGTTGCAGCATACATCTTTCCACTAAAAAATTGTTTATCACATTTGAGTTATAACAGAAAAATTCCCATGAGGATTTTGTTACTTGCGCATTTTCGCATTGACCATGAAAGTTGGCAGAAATTTCACCAAGCTTACACCAATCATTTTGAAGGAACAGATTGCCCTCCTCTTTTTTTTATAGGAATAAATCAACGGATATAAATTATGAATATAGCATATGAAAGCTTGTGAGTTCAAGCTTTGAGATTATATAATAAACAAATTCAATAAAATTTGCTTCATATACTTCATTGGCCAAAATTATCTAATGGCATTTAAAATAGTAACAAAATAGTTATCTTGGTAAAAGTTTACAATTGGGTGCCCCTGGTTTATTGGCGATTCTTTTTTGACGCCAAGATCAGCGCCAGGAAGTCACAATTTCAAGATTGCTGCTGCACAAAAAAAAAAAAAAAAAAAAAAAAAGAAGTCGAAGAATTGCATAAAATCTGTGTCCATGTACACATCGATCTGTTTTTACTTAAAAAAACATCCTAGAATTGCACAAACTAGGCATTGTGCACTGTCTTAAATATGTCCATGCACACATCAATCTATTTTTATTTAAATAAAATCAGGAAGCTAAAACAAAGTTAAAACTATCATGGTAATCAGAAGTGAGGTTTCATCACCTAAATTTTAAAAAAAAATGTCGCTAATGGAAGGGGCACCCAATTCTACACTGAAGCCGTTATCTTTATTGACTAGATGTAATGTAAGTTTACTTAAATATGAATATAAGTGGTAGTACTCAGTAGTGTCTTTTACATAATTTTGAAAATACTCCATTTTTTTTAGAAGCCTTACACATAATTTTAATCATTTTTTGGTATTTTTGCAACAGGTGATTTACTACCGATGGATCATGATCTTAACCAAAGCATACTTTTCTGTATTTTAAAAAGCTGGCAGACAAAATAATTTTCTTTCACCATATCACATAGCTCCAACAACCAGTTAATTTAAATACAATGAGCAAGGGCATAGCTAGAGGGGGGCAAGGGGGGACATCTGTTCCCGGGTGCAGAATCCAAGGGGCACCAAACTGATTTTAGAATTAAATGTTTTCCATCCTTGGCAGGCAATAGGGGGCACGAAACCTTCAGTTGTCCCTGGGCGCTGAAAACCTAGCTATGACTCTGAGCTTATTGCCTTTAGTTTCATTGGTACCTTTTAATGTAGATAAAACTGTGTAGATAAGCCTTATGTTTTAATGTAGATAAGCCTTAGTCTACATAAAACAGTATTCTTTCTCGTCTCCTGTTTTACCATACTACTCATTCCTTCTCCTCTGTAAGGTGTTGTAATGCTGAAAGATGCTACTTTTTATTGTAGGTTAGTAAGTTTATAGTAAATTAAATGTATTAAATAATTATTTATTTAACACAGCCATATCACCCATATAAGCTGATTTAACCTTCGTTTCTGGCAGCTGTGATTTACATATATGGAATAGCAAAGAAAAAATTCTAAGTTTTAGCATAATAAAATACAGTGTTCAAACACTCCCCGTGTTGTTTTCCTAAGGAAGCATACATGAGTGTTAATTTTGAGCAGTTAAATTTGTTTTGAGGCCATATATTAGCTATATAAATAAGACAACTGAGTGCTCGCAGTTTGACCCAGAACTGAATTCCAGCGAAAAAGGTAGCCTTCACATTGTATTTTCAAGGTCATTCCTGCATGTAACATGAATAATGACCCAGTTCACCTGAGAAAGCCCTTCACAAAAACATCCCTTCTCTTAGTTGGATACCTGTCAAGTGGATTAACTGCTATAATCAATTAAACAGTGATTGAAAATTTGACTGCAGTCTGCTTTTAAATATTCTTTCTATATTCATTAGTGCCTTGTTTTGCAGTTTTCATATTTAAAAGGTCCATATTTACTGTAATAATGGCCTTAAAGTGTAAGAGTACTGATATTTAAAACAGAAGAGAAATATGCCAAAGTGAAACATAAAATTAGCAAAGCAACAATCTTATATTTGACGTAGATTTAGCATTTGTTTATGTTTATCCTTTTCTTTGGTGAATACTGTTTGTCTTGTTTATTAATCTCAACTAAAATTGTTTCCCTAAATTTTTTATCTAAAAGATGATTATAATTTGTTTTAGATGACATCAAGTGATAAAGATTTTCGATTTATGGCTACAAATGACCTCATGGTTGAGTTGCAGAAAGATTCTATAAAGCTTGATGATGACAGTGAGCGCAAGGTAATGTTTTTTCTTAATATTAATTATAAAAAATATTGTTATTGGTTTTTATTAGCTTTTGAGTATATTTTTATTATATTCATCTTCGAAAACAAAAATATTTACAGGTTGTGAAAATGCTTTTAAAATTATTAGAAGATAAAAATGGTGAAGTTCAGAATTTAGCTGTGAAATGGTAAAATAATTTTTCTTATCAGATATTTCTTTTTCGTTATGTAATATGATGTCTCTTATATAACTGTTATCTTCTATTTTAGCCTATTCGTAATTTAAAAATTTAATGCAATGTATTTTTTTTTATAAAAAATACAGTACGCTCTAATACAGTACGCCACTTCCTCTGTTTTAATGTTCAGTAGAATTGCTATTTTTGGTATATTTTCAAGTATATGACAGAGTAGCCATTCCACATACTTACAAATGGCAGACATATTTAAATAAATATGAATTTACACATTTTATATTTAACATCATTCCACCAGTTGTAAAAATGTAAATACTAGCACACAGATTTTAGTTTTTGTTTTCCTCATGAAATTTCTCATTTCTTGTAAAATGTTTCTTTTTATTATTATTTGTGAACAAAGCAGTACTTATGAGTCATAAAATAGCCTCAAAACATTTTTCGCAAACAATCGATCCCTTTCCATGGGGTTGTGAAGAATCAGAAAGTACCAAGACTGCATGTGTTATTATATGACTGTACATTTTTTAATTAATTCCTATTTTTAAATTATCTTTTTCTTCTCTTTTTAAGTCTTGGGCCATTAGTAAACAAAGTAAAAGAATATCAAGTAGAAACAATTGTGGATACATTATGTAATAATATGGTATCTGAAAAGGAACAGCTTAGAGATATATCTAGTATAGGTAAAAATTTTTATTCATAACTTTTTGTTGTAATTTTTTTCAAAGTTTCTTTGTACTGACATTCTTAAAATGTATGTTTCAAACTAATTAATAATTTTTTATAATAATTTTTTTTCAAACAGTATATTTTGTAAGTTTTTCCTTTATATGCATATTTTATATGATTTTTGAGATAAAGAGAGAGTATCCTGTATTTTAAAATGTTGACATGACATGAGAGACGGAAACTGAGGTTATTTTTGGATTCAGAGGCTAAAGAGGGGCAAGATGAATAGATAGATTTGTTAAATTCATAGAAAATTTTTACAGTTCTGTAAATTCTTTTTCTGATGAAATAGGTAAAGTTGTCTGGGTAAAGAAAAGAGAGAGAAAAAAACAATTATGGCACCGAATCAAGACATTTTAATGTGTAATAGAAATGATGTGTAATTTTGTAAGTAAAATTTAAATTATTTGTAAGTGTGAAGTTTGTGAAAAAATAAAAAAAAAAAAAAAAATAAATAAATAAATAAAAAAAAAACAACAACTAGGTAACCAATTAAAAAATGTTTGTAAATAAGGTTTTATTGGGATTTATACACATATTATTAATTTTTTATTAGGGAGGGGATATAATATTGTGTGCCTGTTCATTAAACCTATTGTTTAGGTTTTTATGTTAAGCTCTAGTTAGTTATTCATATTTATAAGTGTCCTCTTTTAACAGTTCTAATCCCCACAAAGTTAGTTTTAATGTCTAAGTATTTAGCGATATTGGTTTATAAGGAATGCATTTTCGTTGCTGTATGTGCCTGCAGAATTAAAGCATATTTTATATATGTTTTTAATTTCATGCAGTAAATTAAATATAATGGATAAAAAATGAAGCATTTAATAAAATTGAAACATAAATCTTCAATCACTATTTTATTTTAAAAATGGTTTTGTAAATTATTAAGCTGAAAGGAGTAACAAAAATACATAAAAATTTGCTAGTTTTAAATAAAAATAAAGAAAGATGGTTTCAAAATGAATTCATTAAATGTGTATAATATATAGAATAATGCTTCAGTTTCAGAATTCTGACATCATAAATTTTAATTATGAAATTCTTCATAGTTAATTATTTCTATTTATGTGTAATTGCTATTTTTAAATGTACATATGGACTGTAGTATCATGAAAAGTTAAAATGTGTGTCTGCTACCATGAACATGTATTGCAATTCTGTGATAAATATCTATTTCCAGTATAAAAAATTGTGGAGATGTTACTTTAGAGTAATATTTATTGTTATAAATTTTTCTAATTTAGTCTCACATTCATATTTACAGTATCTATGTATTTAATGAATACATTTTTAAATTATCTTATTTTTTATTTTGATTTAAAATTACCATATTTTTATCGTTTTTGCTACTTGTGTCAGCTTAATAATTTACAAAACCATTTTTTAAATTAAATAGTCATTGAAGATTAATGCTTTGATATTATTAAATGCTTTATTTTTTAAAATATAAAACTCATAATTGCTGTATGAAATTTAAATGAAAGATCTTATTGAAGATTGTTTTATAAATTTTTTCTGTTTAATCAAATTTTTGTTCTGAAAATATAAAGGAAGAATATGAAGCTAATGAAACTGTTTTAAATTTTTATGCAAAGTATTTACAATATGAATGTTTTTTTTTTTTTTTTTTCTTTCAAGGCTTAAAAACAGTTATTAGTGAATTACCTCCAACTTCGACTCAGTTAGTCTCAAGCATATGTAAGAAAATCACTGGAAGATTAAGTAATGCTATTTCAAAGGTATTATTTTAATTTAGATCATTTAAAAAAGTATAACTATATTTATTTTTTATTCTGATTTTCAAATTTAAAAATGATTTTTATTTGCTGAATTTAATTCTTTATTAAATTCTGAAGGCAGTGTAGAGTAAAAATGAAAAATCATGTTAAAATTCTAATCATCTCCCTTTTTTTTTTAGTCACTATTTATTTTCTGGAATTATTTTATTAATCTGAATTTATTTTTAAAACCTATTTAAATAATCCATTATTGCAAATATGGTGTGATGTCTTAATTGTATTTAAATTTGTTGTTTGTATGTGTATTTATTATTGTTATTAATGCATAGGCTCCAGTTATATTATAATGAATCTTCGAATAATGATTTTTGAGCGTAGCATGCAAGGTGACTGTAAGCAGCATGTATTTTTTCAAAGGCATAAAGAAATTAGTGGCATAAAAGACAACAAAATGGATATTATAAAGTTCAAATCCAACCTATGAAAAAATTTCTTATATTATTTAAAAAATTTAAAAATCTGAAGGGATTTTGATTTTAGTGATCGTCCAAAAGGTTTTTTTTTTAGTTTAATATGGTATATCAGTGAAGATTATCATTAGACAAGACCCAGGTTGAATACCAAAACATTTTATAGGAAACTTATGCATTTAGGCTAACAGGGAAACAGTATATATCTTCTATTGTATATTTAAAAAGGGGGAAAATATGTAATTCAAAAAAAGATTTTTGATGTTTTTGATTAAATATAACATAAATGCATTTTTAAATAAATCATATTAAAAGTTAAAAAGGAAAAAAAAAGAAAAGTAAGAACCACAGCTATTGCTTTTAAATAGCTTAGTTTCTTAATTAATAATGGTAAGTTAAATCTGAAAGAATAATATCTTTCATTTTTTTGAATGGCAGCAAACTGGAATGAAAAGTAAAACAACACAGAATCGTGTTTTTGATACTAATAGCCATTTAGGGCTTTTTAAAAAAAAGTCTATATTTCGACCAAATCTGGTATGAAAATTCTTGAAGCCATTTTCATTGAAAAATTGCAGGCAAATTAAGAGCTGTGTTATAGATAGAGATTATTTAATTCAAAACTTAAGCTTCTGAAGCATGCTACTTATAAATCTTGGCATTTGTAATTTATAAATGAATTGCAAGTATTTTTATTGATGATTGTCTCTGTAGAATATTTTTTAAAATTTCCATGTAGGAATTAGAATCCAAAACCCTCATAAAGATATACGGTTTTTAGATTCTAATTTCCTGTACAATATTTGTGATTTAAAATATTTCCTTCAATATTATTGTGCCTTTAATGCACATTTTCTGCAGCTTTAAAAATGTTCATGTGTTGACTGCTTGCTATAGTTTTGTTATGGATTGGAGTATACGTTATTAACTTCCTAATAGTTGTACTTAAATTAACAATATGTGTTAACATTGAAATTAAGAAATACACTGAATTGTTCTTTGGTGATGCTTATTGCAAGTGTAATTTTAAGGCAAAATAAAATATTATGGGGCAAAATACAAGGTGACTTTTGGGGAGCAGTGTAACAAATTTGTAGGAGTTTTTTACAAGTATATATTTAGTAGGCACCAGAAGCTATTAGTATTTTACTTTTTGTAGTTTTTGATTTAGTCCATTATATATTTTTAATAATCAGATACTTGGCTTGCTAATTGAAATATTTGAGCAAATGAACAGTTTAGTATTTTTGAATTCTTTATGAAGATTCTTTAAATATATTTGTTTCACCTTCAGAATGAATCATACTATCAATTAGACCGTACTGATACTGACAAAAATGTATAGATATTGTATGTTTCAAGTTTGAGAAGTTATTAGATAGAAGTATGTGCTTTTGATATTTTAGTATATTATTATGATGTGATTGGTAACCCTTGTCGTTTTTGCAGTTCTTTAGCTAAGTTTATATTTTATCAATTGAATTTGGTTTTTCAAATTTATTTATTGCTATTTGGAAATTTTGAATACTTGACCTTAATCTCTTTTTTATATTTAGTTCCGAAATCCCAGAATACATTAAAGGCTATAATCTACAGGTATAATCTACATCATAAAAATTCTCCAATATATGAACTCCTAGTGGCCTATCCACCCAAACAATCGAAATGAAATATCTGCTATTGTTATTTGAAGGTATGCACTTGAGATTGTGTTGATTTACCATATTAGAACTCTCATGATTATAGTTACAGTGAAAAAATTTTGAAACTTCTGTATGGCGACATGCTTTTTTTCTGTTTAAATTGATCAGCACATTGATCTTAAGGCAGTATGGATTTTGTCTGACAGTCATAGTGCTATTAAATATCTTTCAAACTGGCAAAGAGTTGGTGATAGGGCCGGAGCTGCAATTCTTAGCAAACTTAGGCAGGTCTCGTCACCTAGAGTGTGAAAGTGCATCTTCGGTGGATTCCTTCCCATGTTGATATATGTGGGAATGAAATGGCAGACATTCTGGCGAAGGAGGCTTCTGAAGAACCTTTGCCAATTATCAATTCACTGACATATCTTGAACTGCATTCCATTAGAAGACATGCTGACAGGCAAATTTGGCTCGTTCCCCCGAGTCATCCCTGGTATCAAGCTGATTGTCCTGGAAGATCCCTTGCTATGGATTGTGAAAGATGTGTTCAGACAGCACTTTCCTGATTCTTCAGTGGGCACCTGAGGGGACTTACTTTTGAGAGTGGTATCAAGATGCACCCAATTTGTTCGATTTGTCTACAAGGTGACCCGCATCACCGGACATATCGTGGAGTGCCTGGATTTGTCTCTAGGATCATTACGGGTCTCCCTGTTTTGATTTTTTAAAGGTGAATGGACTCGTGGACCTCGTCTAGTATATTCCTAGGCATAGAGATTAGTAACAACAACAACAAGCACATTGATAAACCATAAATGGTATTGGATCTGTATACATACGACGAAAATTGTTGGCATAAAACATTTGCAAAGAAAAGCTTTGTGAAAGACCAATGACAACACAAGAGAGGAAAGGGAAAAAGAACTCGAAATTGGAATTTGAAAGTTTTTAGTCTGCCCACCTTTGCAGACGATAATGCATTGCTTGTGAGAGACTTGATAAAATTATGAACATAATATCCCTAGAGGAATCTGTACAACTTCATGCTTTATCTTTCAATTGTGATAAATCTCATGAATTTGATATGCACATATTAGATTTCAGATAACCTCAGAACCTGAAATCCATCAGGTTAAGGGATCATGGTGGCCACAAAACTGCAAAGTTGTGGGAGATGACTGTATCCAAAGTGCTGTTGCAGCACTTGCCGAGCATGTGTGGAGACATTTGGAACAACACCATCGTGCAGTCATAGTGACATTAATGACATTTCAGTGCCACAGTTCTAGAATTATGTAACAGAGCAACATTATCGTATACCAAGCACTTGTGATGGAGCACGTTTTCATACCTTTGGAAGTAACCTCTTCAAAGAATTATGGACCTAGAATGTATGTGCTTGCCATGCCATACTACACAGTCATTTTAGCTACATATAAAGGCCCTGGTGCCACATCGTGAAGAATTTTGTGAGCCCAGTAAATGCAGTTCTTGGAGTTTACATTCCTAGTTAAGCAAAAATGCGCCTCATGCGTCCATAATATCCTCAGTGGCTATCTCTTATCTTCATCATATCTAATGAGAAATGATAATGTGTTCTTCTCAAATGTTTTACACTGGCAATTTTTATAATACATGTATCATTTCAACATTATTTATGATTTTTTAATGCGCTGATCAATTTGTGCAGGAAAAATGTGGGTATTGCCATTTAAGAATTTAAGAAATTTTCTATGTAACTATAAGTGTGAGAGCTGTATTCTTTTAAATCATCACAGTCCCGAGCATATACCTTTAAATAACAATATCCGAAATTTAATTTTCATTGATTAAGCAGATAGGCTGCTAAGGGCTCATATATCGGGGAAGTGTTTTATGACCACCCTGTGAATAATATGGTTTATATTTTCTTTAGTCTAACAATTATTGAAATATTCTTATCTTAAATTCCAAAAGATCTGAGGTTGAAATATTTATGAATATCAAAGAAAAATGCATTAGGACAGTGGTTCTCAATCTTTTTTGTATCATGCATCCTTTTCACTATTGCTAGAAGATATCCCTTCTTTACCTAACTTAAAAAATGTATATATATTATAAGATTCCTGTGTTTTAATCTGTAGCTAAAGTTGAGGAACCTTAAGAACTGATAAGCGAATAATCGCTTGAATCATGAGACAGAATAAAACATGAGAAGGGTTAAATACCCTTTATTATTCCAAATAAAGTTCATGGAATACTTGTGCTTGGAGCTTTACAGTAAAGCCTCCACTGAGGCTTGAACTCAGGAAACTAAGAAATTAAACTTAACTAATCTAACTAAAAAGATATAGCCGAAGCTTTCAAGATTCTAACAGTTGGCCCCTTAGCGCTAATTAACAGCGAATCTATCAAGGGCCTAAAGTACAGCCGATCATAGAAATAGCTTTAGAGAGAGTATAGCCAAGAGGCTAAAGCACGCTGCATAGAATCTATGGCTCTTTCAAGAAGTCAGTAGATCTTCACAGTTAATACTTCTCCTCATTTGCATTCAAACGTGATTCTAAAAATATGTTTTGGCCGGAGTTGTAAGTTGAAATTCAGGAAGATAGGAAAGTACTTTTAACTAAAAATTAACTGTTAGAAAAATTAACATAAACCTTACAATACATTTATTTAGATTATTTTCTAACATGTTTTATAAATTAAATGTAAAGTATAGGAAATGCCAGTAAGATACCAAAACTTGACAAAAGTAGCTTTTTTTTTTTTTTTTTTTTTTTTTTTTTTTTCATAAATTAAATTTAAATACTTTCCAGCTAAATAAAACTGACCACATTCCCTCTACCCTCCGAAACTATGAAATTGCCTTCTGGTGAAAAACTTTTGTATTAGAGAGAATTATGTG